ATATATATTATAAATGTATATGTATGTATGTATGTATATATATATAAATATATATAATTATATATATGGATATTATATAGATGTATATGGCCACTGATATTCTTACTAATCTATTTCTTTCTTTTTTGCCGGCCAGATTATGAAGTATATCAGCAGTAATGCGGACCCTTCAACGTATACGAGTGCAGCAATTGCCTTGGCTGCAAAGGAGCTGCTCAGCGCTTGAGGGATATAGGCTGTAGTGGGAAGCAACCCTACTCTGCAACTCAATAAACATCTCCAATTGGCCAATACGTTTGCTGTCACATACCAATCGAACCAGTAGTATTGATACCAATGTCGGAATGATTAGATGAGATGTTGTTCACTGCCAGTTAAAATGACTATAAACAATTGCGATGCATGGTGCGGTTTGCATCGTTTCTATCTTGCGTATACTCTTCAATTTATCCGGGAACGATTTAAATAGCATATTAAAAGTAGTTCATTCAACCTTCAAAAAAGACACTAGTGTTGGAATCATCAACCGGAAGGCTTTGTGTTACATACACCCTATAATTATTGGGTGACTGCAGTCGAGTACACTCCTCGGTAAGAACGTATCAGATATATCCACTCCAATGTTTAAAATATAGACATAAAGGCTGAACACTGTAAACAAAGGCTACTATACAGTCATGCGGAGGACGACCGTCTACTATAATTAAAAAACATGGTGACCTCACGCTGAGATAATCATCAGAATTTTAATTTTGTGATTTGATATCCACTGATCTGCGCGATGATCGCTGCGCACTAGCACGGGGTCAAGTCATAGGAACCACACAGATAATGTCCCATTTAATATCCTATACATGTCCATGTATAGCTCATACTGCACCTCAGCTGATGATGGACCTAACAGCTACTAGCAACGCTCTCAGCTCTCTTCCCCAAGCAAGCGTATAAAAGTACTCCGTACGACTCGTATGAAGCTAAGATGTAGCTTCCCCATTCGGCATGTCCGACAAAGCTTTCGTCTATGCTTGACAAATATCACCCTGGAAAACTGCGGACAACACCAACCAGGTCAACCTCCAGGCCAGAGCATAAACGTGGTTTTCCAGGGCAGCAAACCCGTGCGTTATACACATGCATTGTTAGCAACAACCAACACGAAGATTATATATGTATGTATGTGGATGATGGGAAGGATATGTAAATGTGTGGCTTGGTTGACGGCTGAGAGACTCTCTCCAGCCAGTTTGACGTACTATGACTACACACCCTCAAGACTTGTAGGCGTGAGTGGTATGTTTAACTGCAGTCAGAATTTTAGAGCTCAAAGCCAAAGGTATTCTCACCACTGTACGTTACATATAAGAACCCATCCTCGTCCTTGTGCTCTTCGTAGATCGTCGCCAGCGCTGAACTCGTAGGCGGCAGCACTGCAAAGGTAGGTGCAAGATTATGAGTGGCCTACGTTATAACTCCCACACATGCAATGTGGCAACAACACGTCTTAGTGTGCCGATTAGCTTTGTGGAATAGTCACAAGACAGCCAGCGGAAGCGAACACTACAGTAAAATGTTTCAGACTAGTAAAGTAAGCTATAGTAGAACGACATTAGCCCAGAGTTGTCCCAACCTCAACAATCTCAAGGTGCCAAGATGTATGGACATATCTGCTCGCAATTCAGCCGTTAGCCTGAGCCCACTAGCTGAAACTAAAAAAAGTTGCCAATCCAAGCACATACCAGGCTATAGTAGAACAACAATCTCAAGGTGCCAACATGTATGTACATATCTGCTCGCAATTCAGCCGTTAGCCTGAGCCCACTAACTGAACTAAAAAAAAGTAGCCAATGCAAGCACATACCGTTATTGACAAAGATGAAGATGGCCTTTTCAGGAGAAAGCTTGATCCTCTTCCTGATTACGTACACGAACTGGCCAACTGTCAGGTCCATGGGAACCAAGAACTTCTTCTTATCGATTTCCTCTATATCTGACTTGCCAGCACGCTCAACAATTACAGGTACACGATCCGGATACTTGCAGCGGATTTTCTGCGCTTCCATCTTGCGCTTCTCTAAAAAGTTCGAAAGTTGATATTCAGTGTCAATACTAACTCTAATTCAAAACAAAAAAATGAGAAACTAGCTTTCTACAAGACATGCTCAGGCGATGGATTAATAACAACTGATATTCAGAAGGCGACGCCACAATGCAATACACTAAACTCTAAAAATGCGGGCACAACGTTAAAACCCAAATCTTGTGGACAATGGTCCGAGTATAGCCCTAACCCAACTGACAGGGTGTGAAAGCAATAACGGGCAAGTACTTGCAATCTTCACGGAGCGCAGTCTATTCAAGCGTGATAAATCTTTACTGAGAGATAAAATAGTTTATATCTATACAACCTCAAATCCATACGGTGCCGCTCACTTATCACTATATGCCACCAACATCGAGCGGGACTCACCGAAAGAGTTGACTTCCTTGAATGAATCCTTGCCCATCGTGACGTGTTAACTTAATTTGGATTAAACGACAACTATGATTGTTCTGCTTACAAATATAATTTAAGCTGTCCCTGCAAATTACACCGACGTCGTCTTATACAATATACAAATGAAGTGCAAGTATACACATAGAGATATGTATATATAGTATTATATACATCATCTGCGTACGTTTTTGCTCTGCCCGAATGGCAAATATTTACGTGATGATAGCATTTCGTCCGATCTCCGAAACTAAAAAAATATAACATAAATGAGGGCAAAAGACCCAATAACTGAGGGCGAAAGGCCTTTTTGCGCCATTTTGATCCCCCCCACTTCGTATCTATTTTTAAAATTAAGTATGAATAAATGAGGACAAAAAGCCCTTTATTAGAGTCATTTGACCCCACACTTCGTAGCCAACCACTGTATGACTCACAATTGAGGACATTTGCTTTTTAGATTTTAAAATTATACTTTTTGGTCTTTTTTGGAGGCAATGGGTATTTGTTATTTTGCTAAAAATGACTGCAAGAACTGATGACGCATCTCACGAAGACTCCGGATGACACATCACTTGAAACTCTTTTGATGTGGATACATTTAATGTCGCTTTGTTTTGTTTTGTTTTATATTGTAGAGAGAAGTAGGATATATTTATGATACGGACATTCATAGCGTGTTTAAAATATGTCTCAAACTAAACTGATGACCGGATTGGGAGATTTGAGACTGAAACAATACCAGAACCAAAACTGCGGGGGGGTTTGTGGTTTGAGGTTTTTGTTTTTTTATTAAAAAAAACATGTTCATCAGTTGATTCTCAGATTCCAGAATCCAGAGTCTAAAAAATATGACAAGCCTCAGAACGGAATGATTTTTGGGGAGTAAAAAAATCTAAAATGTTACGGATTTTGGTTTAGGGCAGTACTTTTACCTTATATTTTACAACTTATTTCAGAAAACGTACCCATAGGGGTATTATTTATTTACCCCCTTAAAAAATATTCATTTCGTACAGCCTCTGAACATATTAACGTCAGAGCGGGAGCCTTCAGCCTTGGGATTTGGAAGTTGGGTCAGTACTCTCTTTTAGTATTAGTAGGCCCTAGTTTACTAGTGACATCGACTATTCCGAGTAGAATGACTAGGTCTCGTAATTTTACGTCTCTCTAAAGTATTGTGTCGTGTGCGTGGAATGCGTATGTGTGTATCATCTTTCATACTTATATGTGGTATTATCTATGTACGTGCGCTACAATACAGTACAACACACCGAGTCTAGATATATAGTTCTATAGTATATACATATACCCCTCCGTTGTTGCTTACTATCAGAAGCACGTTAAAGATATGTTTAGCTCGAAGTAGGAATCCTACTGGACATAGCGGATTTACATACACATACATTAATATATGTATTTAATCGGAATTAGATATAGTTTGATTCATTCATAATGATGAGCCTATCGATATACACGGCCGTCAGTGCACTCGCAACTGTGTGCACGGTATCTTTTGCACTCGGTCGAGCAGGATCCATACCTGAGCAAGGAGCCTCTCTTCATATACTCAAAGTCGTCTTTGCAGACAAACTTAGCGTATTGTTGCTCGTCAATCTGACATACACCATTCTGCTATGGGTGGCCAAATCGATACAGTACATATTCTTTGGTTTACTAAGACCTGTAGAAAGTCAGCACATGTATGACCGTCTGTTGAACTATCTGATGTTGAAGATCATGTTTGTAGGTGCTATACTAGAGCCCGACATGTACGAGCTGATTATGTGGACGACATGGTTTAGCATCCTAGGCTTTCTGCGTGTCTTTAGTATGCTGGCACGTGACCGGTTTGACTTTGTCACCGCATCACCTACAACACCTACTAATGTACATGGTCGACTCCTGTACTTACTGGTAGCCATACAAGTACTTAATGCTTCTTGGCTAGGGTTGTGTATGTACGTTTTCTCAGAGGCCGGCGTGTCTGTGTTGTTCTTGCTCGTATTCGAGTGCGCAACGCTATTTATAGACACACTGCAAACCATCATGAAATACTGCATACACCTCTACGACCTGCAGTACACGGGTGTGTGGGAACAACGAAACTCACTTATGTACCATACGGAGATCATTACTGATCTGGCGGTACAATTAGCCACACTACTACACTATGTGCACGTGTTGGCGTTGCACGGAATAAACTTCACACTGATAGATGCGGTGCTGTTCTTGAATATACGCACTGAGTTCAAGCAGTTCCGCAAGCGACTGGCTGGCTATCGCAATTACTTTATTGCGAATAGGAGTTTAAACACTTTATATCCAGGTACGTTCTATGTTGTGTGGAGCATTATCTTGTGCTAAAATCGTTTTCAAATTATGCGACTGATATACAATATATATATATATATATATATATATATATATATATATATATATATATATATATATATATATATATATATATATATATATATATATATATAGTATATATATATAGT